TAAATGTATTTTTCCAACAACCTTTTTATATATATATATATATATAAATAAATATGATCAAACAGTATAAAAATCTAGTGCAATAGTGCAATCATGTTCTACACTATGATTGTTCGTCATACACTATGGATGGCCGGATATTCTCAGTGCACATCCAAAATACAGTGACCACACACATGTATGAAAGCTGAGATTCATATTAAAAATTTCAGTCAAATGCCTCTTTTTGGTTTTCAATGTTTTTATCCAAGAACTAAATTTCCTCCAAATTTGTAAACCCTGCTAATAGAACAAGAATTTAGATGGCACCAAGTATATTAATAAATACATTTTTATGCTAAATAACTCCGTGTAATGTATTTTTTGTGATAAATTATTTTGTATTTTTTATTTTATTGATGTATTATAATTTTATATTATAATATTTTAATATTAAAATGGTACCATATGAATACAAATCTAACACATTCAAACAGGTAGATTTCATTAGATATTCATATGTATACCAATTTATTTAAAAAAAAGAATAAGTAAAAATATATTTTTTTATTTAGGTAATAAATATTTTACATAAAATTAAATATACATATATATACCAATTTATTTGAAATAAAAATAAATATAACACATTTTTATTATTGGGATAATAAATATTTATACAAGATTAAATATACATATATATACCAATTTATTTAAAATAAAAATGCATAAAACATAATATATTTAATGTAGAGTAAAATATAGATATAAGGGTTGGAGATGAATGTTTCACTCTACTTTAAAATAAAAAAGTTCGTGCCAGAGTAGAGATAATGGTTGGAGATGGTATGAAGCAGTAAAAATATACAGTGGGGGAGAGGAATGAAGATGAAATGTTGCAACAGTTTTGGCGGTGTCTTTTATTTATTGGTTTTTTTATGCTTAATTTAGCTCCTAATCCTATTTATTAGGGGTGCACAAAATATGAATAACCGTCTTAAATTGTTCAAAATAGAAAATTCGTTTCGAACCGAAACCGAAACCGAAACTGAATATTTGGTTCAGTTTTCAGTTTATATTTTCTTAAAATTTCAGTTTTCATTTTGACGTTGATAAAAGTGTTTGTTTATTCGAACCGAACCGAAAACGATATTATTCAAATAATTTCCAAAGCCAGCACATGTTTTTTTAGGCCCATTTAAATAAAAAGTATGGAACTAATGAAAACACACACCACCCACACACGAGGCACTACAAAAAAAACTCTTACATTTTAACGGAAATTTTCTGTTGGAATTCTTTATATTTTCTGTTGGAATAACTATTCCAACTGATATTCTTGTGTATAAAAATTCGTGGGAAAAACGGTCGTTGGAATAGCTAAAATCCAACAGAAAATCCTATGGAAATAAATTCCTACAACTA